TAAAGTATTAAATAAGAAGACTGTCAGAGCGCCAGTCAGTCATTGTTGGTCACGAGGTACCATCAGTCGGAGTCCATAGTCCACCCGGCCGGGTCTAAGCTCACGCACCGTCCTTTCTTCTCTCTTCTCCCACTAACCCAGCTATTCTAGCCTTTATCTGCTCGCCCTCACACAGCCTTCAGCCTCACTGTTTTATCCGTAGTCTTTCTTAGGCTGTTACATCAATTTCTGAACTTAGCTTCCTGTCTCTCAGACAACACCCTGAGATGTACCCAAAAACAGGAAACATCTTGACCAACTCATATAAGCTCATTGTTCAGCTCACATGAACTTAAAGTGAACCCATAAACACTATTCTATTACATAATCCATATTAACATGTAACTTAAACCATTACAGTAGACTACCCACCACTGCATTAATGTGTAGTCTACTGCAGTAGCGTTGTTTAGACAAGTACATCATGGGGCTTTACACAGCAGCCCTGTTGGAAATCAGACTGTCTGAGCTGCCAGGCAAAGTGTAGTACCTGATGGAAATCCACCTGATCGGCTGACAATTAGATCATTGATCACATAACTGATCAGACGCAACACTCAAATATACAGTCCGATTCACCAGTTGGTTGGGGGCAAGATAGTCAGGGTTGAAACTGGCCTGAATCTGTCTTTAAAGAGCCTGTGGCTGGTCATTTTGCTCATTTCCAGCCATTTAATGTTTAATTTTGTGTACATCTAGATTAGCTTTGTACCCCTCATAAATCCAAATAGTCTGTAGTTGTTTCAGAACGATAAAACCTGAGAGCTTCTTCCTCAAAATGACAGGATAGTTCGTGAACATGCACACCTCCTGTTGCTGGTCAGGAGTATATGTACCGATGAAAAGACATGTGTAACACTCTTAATAAAGTGGGTAGTTGAGAAACCCCATATTTTAACTGGCATAAGGCAGACATAGTAAGTCTTACACTTTTCTCTATAGAAACAACACATTAACAGACATGTAGCATTTGTTTTTTGTACTTAACATTACGTCCCACCCAGTAGTGGAAACTTCAAGGTCGGTAAATCCA